CAGTTTCAGGGTTATTCCAGGACAGCTTATTCCCATTTTAAAATGTAGCTTTTAAAGCCACAAATTCTGGTCGTGAGATAAAAGACATTTTCTTTAAAGTATTATAGTTTGCAGGGCCAGAGTGATAGTATATGAGGTAAGGCACTTGCCTTGCATGCTTCCAACCCAAGTTTGATCCCGAGCATCCCATATGGTCCCAAAGTACTACGAGGAGTGATCCCTGTATGCAGAGCCAGAAATAAGACCTGCGAACGGCCTAGTGTGGCCCAAACCACCCCCTCAAGTATTTTTAAAACTATTATCACTTGAAGCATTATTACTGACCAGACAACTGTATTTATATAATGAAGCTATCTTTTAAATAGTGTAATAATCATCTCTAAGCTGTAAATATCCTTGTAACAAATGAATAGAATGCAAATGATTTGTGAAAACCAAAAACAGTGAAAACCAGCTTTTACCTGATTTTGGTATACTTTAACAGCATTAGGCGTCTAAAATGCCATGAGTTAATTTATCAAACAACGTATATTTGAAATAAAACAAAATACAAGTATATAATCTGCCTCCTTAATATTGTCAATGATAAAATATAAACAACCAATGAAAAATTAATTGTAAAAATGAATATGTTCTTTGTAGGATTCAAGAGATTTTCTTTCCATTTCAAAAACTGAAAGATCTTATGATTATAATTAAAACTATTTTAAGGGGCTCATCGGTATGCTGAATCTTACCTTATGCATATTCATGAACTGAAGATGCCCTGGGTTCAAAAATATCAAAAATGTCACAGTACTAAAGAATCAACATATGGGTATTTTAATGAATAATTTAACAATTCTGCTAAAGATGTTTTCATACAAAAAAAAGCAAAGACACATTTTGCCAAATGTACAATTATTTCATGTGATTCCGAGCACCACTAGAAGTGGTCCTTGAGAGCATAGCCAGGAGTTAAGCCCTAAGCACCGCAGGGGTGGCCCCAAAACAAAATAAAGCATACAAACAAAAATAACAGAGGCAAAGCTCAGAGTTAGTAAAAATAAATGGCAGAGACATTTACATTATGTAAAAACTTAAAAGTTTCTAGTTCTACAAATAATCATCAGAATTCTTAAATAACTATGTCAAAAGGACAAGTTCCTTAAATTTATTTTCAGCTTTGATTATACAGTAAAAATTCCAGATGTTTCCCCCACATACTTTTTTTCAGTGCCATTAAATTTCTTAAACTATGTTTTGTTCATGCCAAATTAGAATTTTTTTCAACTCTATAACTTCTAAATGACCTATGCTGGGTTAACAGCATGCTTCTTGCATGTACCTCATGGGTTCTTCCTCCCTACATTATCAAGTCTACAGAAGAACTTACACTGGAAAGCAAGACTCCAACTCTGGTCTGGCAGTGTCACTTATTCTGAAAAAAGCTCAAGCAGAGCATTCATATATAGCCTGGCCACATATAAAAACATTATGTAAAAATTTATCTTCAAAGTAATGTTTCTCAACCCTTAGGGTTACCATCTGATCTTGCTTTCTTCCTATGGGCCCCTGCCCAACCAGCTGAACCCCTAGTCTCATGCTATGGTGATGATTTTCACCTCTAACCCCCTTGATCTCTGGCTATGTTTCTACAGAATATTCAGTACTAAAGTTAAAACAGTTTATTTCAACTGGGGGGGAATCTAGAAGAGAACTTGGAGAAGACACTAAAAAAAAATAAACCCCAAAATTTAGGCACAGCTCGAGGTTAGAATTCAAGTCCCTAGACTCAGTAGGGGACTAGTTTTGTGGGAGAGGTAGAATTCCCCTCTTTCCTTCATGAAACCACTAACATTAAAATTATTATGGATTCCTTTACCATTATGCAGTTACTTCTGATTTTTCCCAAGTCAAGAAAACCATCAGATATTCCGTGTAACAGTTAAGTTCATTTATACTAACTGTACATAACATTTCTAAATTCAAGAGATGGATTAAACATGTGAAAGGCTGTTGACTATGTGCATATTTTCAGCTCACTTCCCGAACTTCTAGAGCAGTACTGTGCAACAGAAATAGAATCTGAATCACAAATGAAAGCCAAATTTTCACTTTCTAGTAGCCACATTTTTAAAAAGTGGAATTGATTTTACATCAGAAGCAGCCCCCTAAGTACCAAATTGGGAGTAGACCCTGAGCACTGTCAGGTGTGAGCCCCCACCCCAAAACATAATACTGATTTTCATGTACCTCATTTAGCCCAATATACCCAATGATTTCAATATATGATATAAATTCATAAGGTACCTTGCACCGTCAGTTTGGATTTTAAGTTCTCAATTCAGAATTACTGTATTTCAAGATTTCAGTAATCATAAATCATATTGAACCATAAATCATATCAAACAGTGTAGTTCTAAAATCATGAACACTTTTGGGGTAGCGGGGTTGAAGGTTGAGCCACACCTGGCTATGCTTGAGTAACCATTTGTGATGTCAGTGTTTCAAAGTGTGGTTGGTCATGTGCAAAGCGAGTGCCTTACATCCTATACTATCTCTCTAGTACAAACACTAATTTTCTTTCTGTTTTTTAGTTTTTAGGCCACCAACCCAGTGATATTCATGGGTTACTCTTGGCCCTGTACTCAGGAATTACTTCTGCCCCTGCTTGGAGGACCATATGGGATGCCAGAGAACAAACCTGACTCAAATACATGCAAGGGAAGTGCCCTATCGGCTATACTATCTTCCTGGCCCCCAAACACTAATATCATAAGGAGTGATTTGGGGCTGGGAAGGATTCGAGTTCATATGTAGCATGAGGAAGCCCGTGGATCAATCCCCAGCATCATTATGAAGCCCCTGAGCAGCACCTGGAATTATGCTAAGCACTGTGCTATGAAATGTCCCCTGTACTCATCAGGTGTGACCCCAAAATAAAACCCAAAAAAGGGATTCTTTAAAATTTTGACTTTAACTGTAATTTATTTTGCATTTTAGGCCACACCCAGTAACACTCAGGGTTGCTCCTGGCTCTGCACTCAGGAATTAATCCTTGTGGTGCTCAGGGGACCATATGAATTACTGGTGATGGAATCTGGGCAAGCTGCATGTAAGGAAAGAACCCTATATAATGAAATACCTTCTCTGGTCCCATATAATTTTTCATTTTGAAGAGCGAGAAATTCTATGAATTTAAAACAAGCCTACCACAGAAAATTGTGAGTAAAATTTTTTCAGTATTTTATTAATACTGGGCCATGTACTAAGTACAGGAAAAATAGATGTGCCCAATTTTCAAATTTTTAAGCAAACAGAATCCATGTGAAGGTACAACTAACTTTTTAGGTGGGAGGGATACTCAGGAGGCCCAGGGCCCCACCTTCGATGCTCTGCCACTTTGCTGCTGCAATCGCAAGGGCATAAGGATGTGGTGTTGTTCAGTATGACTCTGCAGTGCCAGGGATTTACCTAGGCATGGCCCAGAAGCCCCAAAGATCGCATCTGGCTAGGCATGTGCTATTTCCTAGCCCCTACGACTCACTATTTACACAATTTATAAAATTATCTTATGGTAACTCTTAAAACTGATCACGTGTATACAGAAAGGCTATCTTATCTCAACACCTAAATGTCACTTAATGCTATCATCTATTACACGGTCGCTCTCATAGAAAATTCTATTTTCTAGAAGTACTTCCATTTTGACTGAAGTTTCAATATATTGTTTTAGTAGGAGAAGGTATTTATATTGAAAGACAAGTCAGGATTCCCCGAGGAAAGGGAAAAAATAATGAGGAAAAAAATTCAAGAGACAAATGATTTCATACTTTACAAGGGGCTGATTTATCACTAAACAAAAAAAATTAAGAAATACATGCTCTATTTTCTATTGTTTGACGTATTAATACAAGAAGATATGAAACTGACTAGCTATTAGAAGTTAATAATATTTCACAACATTTTGAAGGGGAGAAAAACATGCCAGGTTGCTGAGTGTCATTCAAAGGTGCAAGTTTGTTTGTTTGTTTCAAATGGTGTAAACAACCTCCTTTGAAAATATTATATAATCACCAGGTATGATAACTAAAGCTGAGGAAATATTTAAACATGAAAGGTGTCGATCAAAGATTTAAGTGTGCTTTCTAGAAAGAAAAAAAAAGATTCAAGAGGTAAACAGAACCCCAGAGGTAATCATGTGATTAGAAACCAATTAAGCTAAGCAATTACTGAAACTGCTTTCTCTCCTTTGGGCAAGAAAGGATCACAAATGAGGCTGATATAAAAATGAAAGTGCGAACACAAAAATTGGCTAAGGCTGTTTTGTTGGAGAAAAAGATTTTTTAAGATAGTAGAATATGGTATATGTGCACAGGGATGCTTAATCCATGTAAACAGAGGACTTAGAGTCTATTGTTTAGAAATGCCAAAAGGATAGTTTTAGATGTGTTTTTTTTTCAAAACGGATAGTTTTAGATATGTGTTTTTTTACATTAAATTTAGTTAGTATTCAGTTAAATAAGTAAAGAATTTAGTATTCAATAAAAGAGAGGAAGAGCTAGGGAAGAAGTTTCCAAGAGCGATTTTATATGTCCTTATAGTTCAGAGGAATACAAAACTTATTGTACATCATTCAAAACTACAAAACTAATTTCAACATTATTAAATTTAAAAAAAAAAGCTAGTCTGACCTAGTTCAGATTTAATTACTTGAGAATGAAAGCTAAAGCAAACGTGTAATATTTTGCATTAGAAATTACTATGCTTCAATTTTAAAAGTACTTTAAAAAAATGAATCTGGTCTTGCACCTACCTGGTTCATTTTTCACCCACAAGATTTGTTTTTAAAAACCTAAATGCATAAACTATGACTAAAACTAAACTTTATGTAGACATAACTCTTATTATAACCTATTCTCTTTATGGCTCCTGACCAACGCTGATAATCTTATCTATCAAGACATTCGGTATTAACTAAATTACAAGTCTTGTTAATTACTTTCAAATGCACCAACCTTCTCAAAAACACTGGAGGGAGTCATCAAACAAAACCTGATGTTCTGAATGATGGTATCAGTGTGTCGCCAGCGTCTTCTATCATGTCGTAACCACGACTGTACAGCCTCATACAGCTCTATTTCTGGAAATCTGCTCAGATAGTCGTTATCCAAATAAGACATGAGCTTCTCAAAGCTCAGGTACGAGAGGAAGTCGGGCCTGGACATGAGAGGAACAAAATTGTCGAGGAGAAAGGTGTCCAGCTTCTCCCTTACTCCTTCGATGTTAACACCAAAATCATCCAGCAACCTCATTATTTCTGCACAATTTTCTAGGCAGATTTTTGCTAACAAAAATGAACAGCAAAATTTCACCACCTCTATAAGCTGAACATACATAGCTGCCTGAAGAATCTCATGAACGGTATTCATACTCAGTTCTATAGTTCCATAGTACATAAATTGAAGGACATGGCTGAAACCAGTAGCAGTTAGGCCTTTTAAATGAATTTTGTCCTGATCTCGCTCCCTCATATCTGCAGTAAACATGATTCTGAAGTAGTCACTCTGGGTGGCCAAGAGTGCTTTATGTGCCTGGAACTGATGATCTTCAATAACCAGAGTGACATCGAGAAGCAATCCCTCCTCATACAGTGCTCTGAACCCAGCAGAGACACTGGTATCATGGATGGAGGAACAGAATCCTTCCACGTCCCCTGCCATGAATCACCTGGAAAATAAATAAAAAACACGTTAAGTGTGAAAAATAAATGTTAAAATTATATATAAAAAGGTGGTTAATCATTTTCATACGTTCTGAACACATTAACTTAGAATTTAAACACTCTTTAATGACCTCACCTCCACTACTTAAGTCCTGAATGTGAAACCTCTTTGGGAAAAGAAAACCTAAAGGTTTACAGGTTAATGTTTCTTGCTTCCCTTCCCAGGGAAAACAATCCATTAACTATCAAACAATTGTAAATAATTAACTTACAATATATGCCTATGCCATTCATTTCATGCTGCTCACAAATATATTTAAAAATGTCCCTGTATTTTGAACACAGAATGAATTTCTTAGCCAAATAAGTCAATAAAGAAATTTACCCCAAAAGGACAGCTTATCTTGAAAACTCCTAAACTTATCCAAAGAAATTAATCCGCTGAATACACCAAGTTGTATACACAAGGTTTTACTTATCTTTATATTAAAAAACCAGAAAGCATTCAAAAGTTATTAAGTACAGTGCATTCCTATAATGGATTTCTATAACAACTAAAAAATGATAGCAATATTCCTACATATTCTGACAAATACCTAGTAAGCTAGGTATTGTTATGTGAAAATTTTAATTCAAAAATTAAATGCACTTTTCACTTTTCAAATGATAAAAAGTCTGGGAGATTATATACCAAAACTGATGTCCCTGGATATTGAGATTTCAACATATTTTCAAGTTTATCTTTTCCCCTTAACTTACCTCATTAACCTTATTTTTAAGAGAAAAAACATCAACCATGATATAATGCTTATAAACAAATAATTTTAAAGGAAATTAAACCTCATTTTTGTGTATCAAAAAATGAATTCAAGACAGTGGAATTATAATTAGATCTCCTAAGTAAGCAAAATATACTAATTCAATCTATTAGACTGTTTATGAAGCAAAGCGATTTTCTCCTTTTCAGAAAACGCCTTTCCCAAGCATCTGTCGTCTCCTAAACTCTCTTCCTCACACAGATCCAAGCTTCCTTCCTAATGACCCGTCCTCTCATGCCTGAATTTCCTCCCAACCCATCCCACTGTGCCCTGTGAAACCTTGTTGGATATTACTCTCAATTCCTACAACCTCCTCCCTGACCCACCCCACACTTCCAATTCCCAAATCCCTGGGCCTTGCTACAATCCAGAATTTGGCCTTTATCTGAGATCTTTCATATTTTTTCACTTTGGAGATTACACCTAGTGGTGCTCAGATATCACTCCTAGTGGTGTTCAGGGAACCATGAGGTGCCAAGAATTGAATCTAGGCCTACCGCATGCACAGCATGTGTTCAGTACACTGAGCTATCCAGTCCATATCTGAAATCTTCACCGACAACATGCCACTTTTAACCTTTTTTTAGCCTATCCTGCTTACTGGGCTAAGAGCATGTTTTGCGTGCAGAAGACCTGGGTTTGGTCTCTGGCACCCCATGGACCTAAAACACTGCCAGAAGCAGCATATGAGCACCATACTCTCCTGTATTCTGCTATCAGAAGTCACTCTTAAAAATTCTTCTGTTCCCAGGGAGGAATGCCCTGCCACTGCGGCAGGGTGGGACGGGGGGGGGGGGGGGAGGATGGGGGGTGGGAGGGATGCTAGGACCCGTGGTGGGGGAGGATGGGCACTGGTGGAGGGATGGGTACTTGATCATTGTATAACTGAAACCCAAGCACAAAAATTTATAAGTCTATAAGTGTACTTCATGGTGTTTCACTAATAAAAAAATGATAAAAAAAAAAAAGTAGAAGGCAACCAATCTTAGAGGGAAATATTATATTATTTCGTTTCTGCTTTGGGGTAGGGATTGGGATTCGGGATGGAAATACCCAAAATATGATTGTGGGAAGGTGTAATGAGGGTGGGATTGGTGTTTGAATAGTAAATGTAATCAAATATTGTGAACTAGTTTATAAAATAAAAAAATATTTAAAAAAAAATTCTTCTGTTCCCTTAGGTGAGCTCCTCTGTAAAGTAACTGGTATCAAAGGCAACTACTATTACAATCACTCCCAATCTCACCAATGCTTCCCCTTTGGTTACTAAAAGGAAAAGCACCACCATTATGTATGGTGTAGACACTTTTTTTTCAGGAGTCCCCTTTTGTACAGTTTAAAGTGAAAAAGCCGTTTTAATGAAAAGTAAGGCACCACTGTTAAGAGTTATCACTGGATTTTACTTCTTTTCTCATCAATGTTATTTACAACACTGTATTTAGTTTATCAACATGTTACTTCATTTACTCTGTGGTTATTGTGAGATCATCCACACAGAGATGAGAGCAATAATACAGCAGGTAGGGCATTTGCCTTGCAAGCAACTGCCACATGGTCCATCACAGGGTCCCAGCACAACATTAGGTATCCCTGATTAGGATATGTCCCCAAATTTAGAAAGTACATAAAACAGTAATGTTTTAAGAAATAAATATGAGGAGCCTGACACAGTACAGTAAGGCCTTTGCCTTCCAAGAGGCCAACCTGGGTTCAATTCCTGGCATCCTAAATAGTCCCAGAGCATCACCAGGAGAGATTCCTGAGTACAGGTCAGAATTGATTCTGAGCATTGCCAGGTGTGACCCAAACACACACACAAAAAGAAGAACTATGAAAGAAAAATATACCAAAACATAAAAATTATATTGAGATAGGAATATTAGACTGCTTTTTCTTTTTTGCTAATTTGTTTTACTTTTTTGCTAATGTTTTCTAATATATCTACAAAAAATTTTACTGTTTTTACAAAGTATATTTAGGGGGCTGAGAGATTAAGCTCAAAGGGCTGAGCACCCAACTTTGCATGCAGACGATCAGGGTTCCACATTTAATAATACATGGTTACCCAAACATTGCCTGGGAGTGAAAGCTGAGCACAAAGCCTGAAGCAGCCCCCAGAACTGTGAGGTGAGGTTCAAAACACAAAAAAACCCAAACCCAGTGGTTACAGCTTAGCCCAAATTTCTCAGGATCTTTCTCCAGATACTCCCTTTGGTGTATCACTCCCCCAGCGTCATGACACTCTCTTCCTGATATTCCTTGTTGCTTATTGCTCAATCATCTATTGAGGCTCAGTTTTAAAACTATCTCTTAAATACTGGTGTTAGCCAGGATTCTGTTTCCATTAGTTTTCACTGTCTTTATGTGATGACATCTACAATTACTGTTTCTACTGATAGCTTTTACCAATACTTTGATGGTCTCAGTCCAAATGTTTTTTTAATTTATTTTGGAAGGGAGGGTTTGGCTGTACCTGTTAAGTGTTCAGGGACCTTTCTTGACACTATTCTTAGGGTTCTCTTTTGGATGATCTCAGGGGATCTCTTGTGGTGCAGGGAATCAAACCTAGGTCGGCCACATGCAAGCACCTTATTTCTGTATCTCTCCATCCCCCCAAAATACCCTAATACCCATACATACTATTTATATTGTATTTTCCATTAAACACCTCTTTTACTCTGGATGCTCCAAAGGGATCTCAAACCATATCTAAACAACAGAATCCTACTCTCCACAGTTTTCTTCTGTATTAACCCCATCTTTTATCAAGCATTCTTGTTGTCTTTCTACCCGTACCTAACGTACCCAACGTACCCTTAGATCTTACTGATTATACCACACATTTTCACTTACCTAGGCTAAGTATATGCAAGATAAAAACACATCAATTTTTATTGTATTTCCTTAATATGAAAGCTATAGACTTTCAGTTTTGTAAAGGTATAATAAAGAGGACTACCTGTAATCTGGTAAAAATACGTAAAATATTTTAGACACCGTATCCAAAATTTTGGCAGAACTACTTTACTATCAGGTTCAAGATTAAAGATTTTTCCTTAATTGAGCTTCAGAGTTTTCTAAGTGATATAAATAGGAATACTTACACAAATGTCTACAGTAAAGTAAGTAAAGGCCCTCCCGTTGATCATCGATTTGCTCGAGTGAGCCCAGTAACGTCTCCATTAGAGACTTTGTTGTTACTGTGTTTGGCATATCGAATATGTCACGGGGAGCTTGCCAGGCTCTGCCGTGCGGGCGAGATACTCTTGGTAGCTTGCCGGGCTCTCTGAGAGGGGCGGAGGAATCGAACTCGGGTCGGCCATGTTGGCTGCGTGCAAGGCAAACGCCCTACCGCTGTGCTATCGCTCCAGGGGAAAAATGGAACAACAAAGTGTGGTGTCTGAATAATAAAACATTCTGATTAGAGAAGGCTTTCAATATCACACTATCAATTTTCAAATTTAAATTATAAAAGCAAATTAAACTGGATAAAAAATTGATCCACTTCATTGTATTTCTGAGGATCATCATGGACATCATGGATTCCAACCCTTCAAAATGTATTGGCCACATTTAATGGAGGTTAGTGATAGAGGGTGAGTATCATTGTCCATATACTTCAGAGTAGATCACTTTGTGTTTCACTAAATTGTTCTTCTGCAAACACCTAAAATATCACATACTTCACTTTTTGTTAAAGTTACTACCTCATACAAGAACTGTAAAGATTTCAGTTACCTAATATTTACCTTTTTTTGAAAGGGTGCATTTAAAGAAATCATTTAAAAAGAAACACCATGCTTTTAAAAAGAAGTGTTCTAGATCAAGTTATAAAAGCAGCGGGGGATCAGCGGGAGAAGAGGATTGGTAAATTGTGGGTCAAAAGATTGCGTTCATCTAGGGAACATAAAGTAACAAAATAGGAGACTAACACCCAAGAATAGCCGAGATAAATACCAGGAGGTTTACTCCATGGCTTGGAGGCCAGCAGCACACTCTAGGGGTTAAAGGCAGCTCAGATAGAGGAGGGAGCACCAAATAAAGGGTGTGGGGAGGATCCGCACAGGATGGGAGATGTATGCTGAAAGTAGACTAGAGACCGAAAATGACTGCCACTCAATTCCTCTTTTGCAAACCACAGCACCCAAAAGGAGAGAGAGAACAAAAGGGAGGGGAGTGCCCTGCCA